CAGGGAGAAAGGCATGTGAACATGAAAGCAAAGATCAGGGCGATGCACCTATAAGCCAAGCAAGGCCAAAGACAACCAGAAAGCCACCAGAAGCTAAGAGAAAGGCACACCAGATTCTCCTACTTGACCTCAAACTGCTAGCCTTCAGAACTGAAGAGACAATAGATTCTGGTTAAGTCACACTGGGTTTGTGGTCCCTTGTTACGGCAGCCCTAGGAGACCAATATACCGACTTCAACACAACACACGACAGCCCAATTGTGGGGGTATCGAACTAACACTGGCTTAGTCAGCACATAAGCAGCCACAGGTGCTCGGGTGATACCAGTGTCTCCTGGATACCAGACACCCTGAACTTACAAATTTAAAGGTCTCCGGAAGGTGTAGCATAAACACCCATGTCTGCTTTTCCAGCTCCTAAAAGCATAGGGAGCAGTAAGCTAATGTTTACCTTGTGCTTTTGGAAAAAAGAAGCCAATGGCCTTATCGTTACAATCCCACAGCAGGGCCCCCAAAAGCCTCTTGTGACTAAGGACAGTGGCATGTGGCAGACTAGCAGCCCTGTTGTTCATAAATTTCACAATAAAATAGGAAAGTCCATATTTTCCTTTCAATCATCTAGTTGAGGTGCACTGAAAGCTGACATGAAAAATAAAGTTTTTGGCCTAGACCAAGTCTGACTTTTAAGTACCTTTTTTTATTATCCTCTTCTAGAAACTTTTAACCTTAAAGGAAAAATCTACAGAAAAATCCTTTAAATCTCTATAGGTTTACTTGTTTAGAAGTAAAGCATGGAGTATTTTGACTTTTTCAATCATTTCAGGAGCCTGTATCTAGCTAAACTTAACACGAAATAAGTTTGCATACGAGGGGGGGTAAAAAACGGTAACTCTGAACAAATGAATTTTTACAAGCTCTATGACTGTGAATGACTCCTCCACTGAATCTATTGGAATTGGCCGGCATTTTCCACTCTGGGTACACTATTATCACTTACCACCATAAAATGTAGGTGGGTTAGGAGGATGTTATTTTAAGAACACAGTACTAAACCTCCAATTAAAAACAGCAATTTGAACACCTCTATTTAGCTCAACTCTTTCCCAAAACCTCTGTAAAACTATAATAAAGGAAATTTTCTAAAACACATAAACAAAAAGAGGAGAAAATAGTAGCAAACTTTTAAAAGCTGGACCACTGATGGACAATGGGAACTGCCAAAAATGAGAAAGAAAGACAAATCTTAAAATAGCACTGGAAGAAGTGAAGAAGACACTAAATAAATAGCACATAAAGAACCTCCCGAAAGGTTCGGAGTTCCACAGTACTGCAAACTTTGGGAAGCAGACTTGTCAGTGGGAGTAAAACATAGTTACGAACCTGCTGTATCTCTCTTTCTCCACTACTCCCAAAGCAGCATATTTATTCATTTATTTTCTGGAGAAGGTCAAACAGCAGGTCTCGGAACTGGCCTGCAGGCACAGTTGAAGACGGAGGGCCCTCCCTCAGCGAGCTCTTGCTGCACAGTAGCTACCCCAAAACTCAGGGGCTTAAAAGAGAGAATACTGCAGACATTTCTCCATTTCTCTGCATTCTCCATATACAGATGGCCAACAGACACAAGAAAAGATACTCAACATCACCCATCATCAGGGAAATGGAAATCAAAACTATAATGATATACCACCTCACATCTGTCAGAATGGCTAAAATCAAAAACACAAGAAATAGCAACTGTTGATGAGGATGTGGAGAAAAAGGAACACTCATACACTCTTGGTGGGAATGCAAAGTGGTACAGACACTGTGGAAAACAGTATGGGGGTTCCTCAAAAAATTAAAAATAGAACTACTGTATGATCCAATAATTCCACTACTGAATATTTACCCAAAGAATACCAGAACACTAATTCAAAAAGACATATGAGCCCCTATGTTTACTACATCATTATTTACAGTAGCCAAATTATGGAAGCAGCCTAAGTGTCCATCTACAGATGAATGGATAAAGATGTGGTGTGTATGTATATATGCACACACACACACACACACACACACACAAAATGACACAATGGAATATTACTCAGCCATAAAAAAGAATAAAATCTTGACCTTTGCAACAGCATGGATGGATGTAGAGTGTAATGCTAAACAAGGTAAGTCAGAGAAAGACAAATACCATTTGATTTCACTCATATGTGGAATTGAAGAAACAAAACAAACCAAAAACTACTCTTAACTACAGAGAAATGGTGGTTATCAGAAGGGAGATGGGAGGTGGGGTGGATAAACAGGTAGCAGATTAATAGTACACTCATTGTGATGAGCACTGAGTAATGTATGGTATTGCTGAATCACTTTATTGTACACCTGAAAGTAATATAACACTGTATGTTAACTAAACTGGCATTAAAATTTTTTTAATAATTAATTTTGAAAAAAGGAGCAAATATATATCAATTCTCATGATTCCATGGACTAACTGGGAAGTCTCTGGAACAGGCTGATAGGTGTAGGAAAAAGGCTTGCCTCGCACACCTGGAGCTGCTCAGCCCTGAATCCTCCAGAAGAGTAGCCTAGGCTTGTTCACATGGTGGCAAAATGGCTTCAGCAGCAAGAAGGGCCAAGCCCCACCACAAAAGTGCCTTTCAGTTCTCTGCTAGAATATCATTTGGTCACATCCCAATGACAAAGCAAGTCACAATCAAGCCCAGAGTCAAAGAGATACTGCAAAATGGTGCAGACACTTCTTTTCCAACTATTACAGGTTCTTCATTGAAAACTGGGAGCAAGTTTATATCCAGAATAATGACAGAGGTCTTCTAGCTTCTTTGTCTACTTGGACCCCGGGACACAGGTGGCCATGCATACCCTTCCCACAGGGGCACTGGTCAGTCTTCTCTGAGACATCTGAGCAGCCAGAAGACAAATAATCTGACATAAGGAGCTCTCCAACAGGCTTGGCTGACAAACCTGGAGCAAAGACCACCTTTATCCTACAAGCTACTTTCCAATCAGCTTTAGTCTACCAGTCCTCAGAATGAGCAGAGAGCTGGGGCGCCTGGGTGGCTTAGTCGGTTAAGCGTCCGACTTTCGCTTAGGTCATGATCTCGCTGTAGTGGGTTCGAGCCCCGCGTCGGGCTCTGTGCTGACTGCCAGCTCAGAGCCTGGAGCCTATTTCGGAGCTGTGTCTCCCTCTCTCTCTGACCCTCCCCTCTTCACGCTGTCTCTCTCTCTCTCTTCTAGGAAAAAAAAAAAAAGAATGAGCAGAGAGCTAAGGAAAGCCAGAATCAGGAATGCAAAAACATAATAAAATAAAACACCAAACAACCTAACCATATTTTGACTGTGCTGGTTGATCTGTCAAAACTTATAATCATATGCAAAAAAGAATAAATTTTACTGTATTAAATTATACTTCCAACAAACTTTGGGAAAACAGATATATAAGGAGAAAAAAATGTTAAAAACAAATGGAGATAAAGGGAGACACTGAAAAAAACTGACCCCATTAAACAAGAACAATTAAAAAAAGACTCTCAGAAAACAAAACAAAACAAAAAGAGATCTTATTGGAAACTAAACATGAGACAGTAAAATAAGCTCAGTAGAAGGGTTAGAGGGGGTGCCTGGGTGGCTTAGTCAGTCAAGTGTCTGACTTTGGCTCAGGTCATGAGCTCATAGTTCGTGGGTTCGAGACCCGCATTAGGCTCCATGCTGACAACTCAGAGGCTGAAGCCTGCTTCAAATTCTGTGTCTCCCTCTCTCCTCCCTCCCCCAGCTTATACTCTCTCTCTTAAAAATAAATAAACATTAAAAAAAAAAAAGGGGTTAGAAAAGACAAAGCTAAAAAGATAATAGGGCAAAACAGCCTGCAAGCACGAAGAATAAAACAAACATCCTAGAACGAAAAACCAGAGAAAACAGAGGCAAGAAAATTGAACAATAGGAAAAAAACTCCCCCAAAATGAAGAGTATGAGTTTACAGAATGAAATGTCCTTCCAAGGGGCCAGGAGCATGGATGAAACAAACCCACGCTAAAACACACTATGGTGAAATGCCAGAACACTGGACACAAAGAAAAGATAACATCAGGGTATCAGGGTTCAGAGAGTGTAAAATACTGGTTTCATACAAAGGATCAAGAATCAGAATGGCATCAAACTCCTTTAATAGCAAACTGAAAACTACAGAATAGAGAAATACCTTCAAATTTCCTCAGAAAAGATCTAATATATAATTCTCTAAGCCAAACAACCAACTTCAAGGAAGGCTAGTATAAAGATATTTTCAGGGACACCTGGATGAGCATCCATCTCTTGATTTCAGCTCAGGTCATGATCCCAGGGTCAAGGTCATGGGATCGAGCCCCACATCGGGCCCTGCACTGAGTATGGAACCTGCTTAATATTCTCTCTCTCTCTAAAAAGAAGTAAAATAAAAATTAAAATAAAAAAATTTAAGACATTTTTCAGACATCCAAAGTTGTCAACAACTTGGCATCCCACACACTTAGACAGCTTCTTAAAAGATGTGCTTCACCCAAAGTGAAGGAAACAAAAGGGGTGGGGAAGAAATGACAAGAAACAGGACCAAGAACAGGGCGATCCAAAAAAGAGAAGAGAGGGGCGCCTGGGTGGCTTAGTCGGTTAAGCGTCCGACTTTCGCTTAGGTCATGATCTCGCGGTTCGTGGGTTCGAGCCCCGCGTCGGGCTCTGTGCTGACTGCCAGCTCAGAGCCTGGAGCCTGTTTCAGATTCTGTGTCTCCCTCTCTCTCTGACCCTCCCCTGCTCACGCTGTCTCTCTCTCTCTCTCTCTCCTAGAAATAAATAAAAAGCGTTAAAAAAAAACCAAAAACAAACAAACAAAAAAAACAAAAAAGAGAAGAGAAGGAAGGTTCCTGAGGGCAAAGGGGAAACCAAGCCACACCTCCACGTCCTCGGGATCCAGAAGATTCAGCAGCCAAATGCCATGGTGCAGAATGGAAAGCAGGACATACCTGGAAGGAGGTGGGAATGCAGACGAGGTTCAGATTCTCTTGTTTCACTCTTTCAGCTGTGGAGACAAAAGCCACGTTGGTGGTTTTTCACTCTCCTCACTTTATTTTTCTTGTCATGTGCACATCTGCTCAAATCCAACAGAAAAGGAAAGGTCTATTCCCCACTGACAGCTGCCTTTCATTCTGTGTCCCCAGCCTTGGTGAAAAACTCTGTGAACAAACATCTCACACACACAAGACAGGGACATTCAAAAGCCTGAGGACTAAATACTAACTACAAATAGAGCCATGTCAGGTGTTTGTGACTACTACGTTCCTGGCAATATTCAAATGTTTTTTACATGTGAACTTTTAATCCTAACAACCCAAAGGTTAAGTTTCAACTATTACTCCCACTTTATAGATGAGGAAACTGAAGCACAGATAGGTAAAGCCACTGGGTAGTTATGTCACTAATAGGTGGCAGAGCTGACATCCCACGCAGTCTAGCTCCAGTCTTAACTACTTCTTCCTTGTACTTTACTTTTACATGCATAATACATATAATCATTTATAGGCCCCAGAGGGTGGTTAAGCAGGGTTTACTTATTCTTTTTGGATTTGTACATTTCAGGGGGTGGGGAGGGACTCTTACCAAAAAAACTTTATTAAAAGTTCAAGTCTTTAATCACTGGGTCTGCATCATGGCAGGTTCAGAAGCCACTATTATGAAATGCACACTAATTCCCATGCCTTACAATCCTCCATACACTCAGTGCTAAGGTAGAAAGGTATGCAACACAAAAGCCTGTGTTAAGCCAATGAGGATTCCAGAAGCCATCACGCCAGCACCACAGCCACTCTTTTAAAGACTAAGTGTTCCTGGACTTTGTCTCCTGAGCACTGCCCCCCTTGGCACCTAGAAAAAGCAATCAGCATTCAGGCAAGTCTCTCCTCTGGGCTTTGTTTTAACAGACAAAAGCAGAGCAGTAAAACCTGTTGAGCAGCCACACGGGCTGATAAGTCCAGAGCCTTTCCTAAGCTCAGGGACACCCTAATCAGTAAGAAGCCAGCACCTGCAGGAAGGAGCCACCAACTCTGGGTGCCTCATATCCACTCCAAGGTCATGGACAGGGTGAGCCTGCTCTGAGCTCAGTATGTCCACCTGAGGTTGACCGAGGGACCCAACGGCTTTAGAAGGCTTATCCCAGGGCCCTAGGGGCCACACATAAGGATTAAAATTCTGCTGAGATCTCATCCTAAATCCACTCCCACCCTCCACATGAGCAAAGTAAACAAAGCCAGGGCATCCCCCAAAGTTAGCTGAAGAGGCCCAAGAATATCTCTCAGAGAAGAGCAGAGTTGGGCAGGTGCCAATGCTTTGCCCCTCCTTCCTCCGCCCCACCACATCCCCACCCCACTGTCCCCCACAAAACATCCAGCAGACACCCCAAGAGCATACCTATTCGCTGCACAGCATGAACGATTGTAGAGCCGCTTCCAATCCCTAGCACTTGGTTATTCTGCCAAAAAAAGGAGAGGAAAAAGCAAAAGTCATTAATACCATATGTGACGCTCTCTTTAGCCCACTTCCTAGATCAAGGTGGGGTGCCCATTTTATAGCAACATAAGCCCTGAACAGAACCACCTGAGAGCACTTTAGCCTAATACCCATGGCAATTTATCAGCAGCACCTTCTACTCTCATCTAACACTAACATCACCATTTCTTCCTGTTAAAAAGATAAACTGAGGCATATGAAGAATTTTATTTGAGCAAGTCAAGCAGCACCCAGTCTGACAGATAGAAAGAGCTTCGAGGAGCTACACAAAATGAAAGACTTTTATAGCCAGAGGAAAGTGTGAACAAGGAGGTGACAGCAGGCAAAAAAGCAGACTGGTTATTATTGCCAGGTTACTTTTCCTTAGGGGATGGCAGGGGCTACTCAGGCACATACCTAACTAGTGCTGATCAGACAATTCCTAACTAATATAACATTCCATTTTGGGGAGGGTTGAAACTGTAATTAAGTCTCCTTTTGGTGATACAGGCTTAACACAAGTGACTTAATTTGGAGCCTGTTGTCTTGTTTATTGATGAGGGACCATGGGGTAAGTGGAGGGCAAAATACAGGCTGGCACCACTCCACCACTCCCCAGGTGGAATATGTGTGATATTACCCCAGACACTCCCAGCTACCCAAGAACAAAGGAAACAGCTTTAAGTATCTGCCATGGTGATGTGAGAAACTAAGGCAAATGAAAAATTAAATTTCCTTACTGCCTACAGGCCTTTGACAAGTCCTTGAAACCAGCAGAGTGACCTCCCTCTAGGAGCTCAGCTGTCTCGATGATGGCACTTTGCTAGGGGCAAAAGAGAACCTTGGCTTAACATTGTTCCAACCTCAAGGATCCTGTAATAAGTCTACTTCCTTTATCTCAAGGGCCCAAGATCTATTCTGGCAATCATACTCCAAGCTTATGGCCCCCGATACACATCTGAAGGGTCTCATGACTGAGGTTTTACTAAATGGTAATAATGGCCTTTCCCTAGCCAACAGCTAGTCCCTCAAGGTCCTAGAAACCTTGCTTCCAAAATGCCTTAGAAACTTACTCTAACCCTGACCCCCTCCCAACCTGAGGGTATATAATGAGTTACCCTTCACGACCCCAGTGCAGCTCTTCCTGTCTATGGTTCCTGTCCCATGCCTTAATAAAATCATCTTTTTGTTCCAAAGACATCTTCAAGAATTCTTTCTTGGCTGTCGGCTCCGGACCAACCCACCAGCACCCCAAAACTTCATTATTTATAACAAAAAAAGATTCACTATGGGCTTCCCCTTGCTCAATGGATGTTTAATCAGTTGCTGGAATTCTACGAAATTTGACACAAAATATTTCAGCATATCGAACTTACTCCGAAGTTGCTTATTCAAAGTAAGGTTGTGTAGGAGGTAACTGATGTTGTTAAAAGATGATTAAAAAAAAAAGGAAGGTAAAATCACAGGCTTGTATCAATATAAAATGAATAGGTCATAGATTTCATTTAGCTCATTAAATTACTGAGTGAACAGAAAAAGATGTTACAACCTATCCACAGGAAGAACCCTAGAATCGAAAATTCATATACAGTCAAGAAATGCTGAAATGAATTTACAAGATCTTTAGGGAAATAATCAGTTGACTCTCATAAAATTTGCATTTCTATGAACAAAAATTATGTGCATTGCTAATAGTGTTCTACAAGTTAAAGGTCCCTCCACAGAGTTGTATATGGCCTAGTGGAAGGCAATGGCAGGCTCTGGCATTCCAAGAAAGGATGTGCAGTAATCTCTTTTGCTCATTTTTTTTTTTAATGCTTTATTTATTTCTGAGAGAAGAGAGACAGCATGAGCAGGGGAGGGTCAGAGAGAGAGAGGGAGACACAGAATCAGAAGCAGGCTGGCAGGCTGCAGGCTCTGAGCGTCAGCACAGAGCAAACATGGGGCTGGGCCCCACGAACCACCATGACCTGAGTTGAAGTAGGACACCTAACCGACTGAGCCACCCAGGCACCCCAAGCACATTTGTTTTAGAGTCTCTGAGAAGTCACAGGAAACCGACTTGACTCTGCTTAACCCAGGAGGAGGTTGTATTGCTGAGAACCTGATTCCATGTTTCTAGCCAATCTCACCACGATGAATTTGTAAGTAGCTCCTTTGTACCAAAATACTGTCAATCAGTTTAGTACCAGGCAAATGTAACCCACATGTCCAAACCCCGCTAGCAAGTGACCTCAGAGTAAAGCTCCATTGATGGTAACGGTACAAGGCTCAACACTCTGTGCTTTTACACGAAGTCTTTAACAAATATTCCTGGGATGCTCACAGGTATAGTCCCCGTGCTCCCTAGGCTTGGCCACTTTGCAGTTCTACTTAAGTTTCCTTCTTCTCGAACAGAAGGGCTAGATGGACAGTGCCTGCCTTGCTCAGACCCACACCCTGTTCACATGGTCCTGCTCCACAGGCTGCCGCTGCTCCCCCACTGCTCGCTCACTGCCTGCCCGCATTCACGGAGACCTCCTACGTGACTTCCCCATGGATGTCTCCTCCCTGGCCAGCAAGGAAACTCACTCCAGAGGGGGTGCTCCTCAGAGAGCGGCAGGGCTTCTGCGCCATAGTTTTCCCCTTGATGTTACACTTCTTTTCTCAAAGCCTAAAACCCACTAGCACACCGGGTGTGTGTAATGGGGAAAACTGGTCCCGGTGGGCAAGTCACCTCCTGTGTTGACCAGGGTTCTCCAGAGAAACAGAACCAACAGGATGTGAGCAAGTGTGTGCGCGCGCGTGCACGTGTGTGTATGTGTGTATGCAGAGACAGAGATAGAGAGTAAGAAAGAGACTTATCTTAAGGAACTGGCCCATGTGATTTCAGGGGCTGGCCAATCTGACATTTTTAAGGCAGGCCGGCAAGCTGGAGACTCAGGGAAGAGTTGATGTAGTCACAAGACAGTTTAGAGGCAGAATGCCTTCTTCCTTGGGAGACCTCAGCCTTTTCTCTTAAGGCCTTCAACTGATTGGATGAGGCCCACCCACAATAGACTTTTACTCAAAGTCTATTGCTTCAAATCTTAATCTCATCTAAAATATACCTGCCATGACATCTTGGCTGGTGTTTGACAAAAAAAAAAACCTAAGCACAATGGTGCAGCCAAGCTGACACATGAAATTAACCATTACACCCAGGTGTGCTGTGGAGTTTGGCTCACTCTGCCAGGCTCCTGGGTCACTTGCAATGACTTTCCTCTCAAGCTGCTTGTCCCTCTGTGTAATCTGGGGCCACGGGTGCAAGCCCTAACTAAACACTCAGGTACAGCCACGTTAGTGTGCAAAGTGGACAGAACCCTTCTCTTAAATGCGTCAAACCAGCTTTAGTTTACATGGCATTCTATAGTTTTGTCTTTAAAGTCCCTTTTCTGGGCTAGTATCCAAAATCTGTAAGGAACTCACCAAACTCCACACCTGAAAAGCAAATAATCCAGTTAAGAAATGGGCAGAAGAGATGAACAGGCACTTCTCTGAAGAGAACATCCAGATGGCCAACCGACACATGAAACGATGCTCAACATCTCTCAGTCTCAGGGAAATACAAATCAAAACCACGCTGAGATACTGCCTCACACCGGTCAGAGTGGCTAAAATGAACAAATCAGGAGACTCTAGATGCTGGTGAGGATGTGGAGAAACGGGCACCCTCTTAAACTGTTGATGGGAATGCAAACTGGTACAGCTGCCCTGGAGAACAGTGTGGAGGTAACTCAAAAAATTAACAGGAGAACTCCCCTATGACCCAGCAATAATAGCACTGCTAGGAATTTACCCAAGGGATACAGGAGTGCTGATGCATAGGGGCACATGGACACCAATGTTCATAGCAGTACCTCAACAATAGCCAAAAAATGGAAAGACCTTAAGTGTCCATCAACAGACGAATGGATCAAGAAGATGTGGTTTATCTATACCATGGAATACTACATGGCAATGAGAAACAATGAAATCTGGCCATGTGTAGCAACATGGATGGACCTTGAGGGTGTTATGCTGAGCGAAATAAGTCAGGCAGAGAAAGACAAATACCATATGATTGCACGTATAGGAGGATTAGGAGGAACTTAACGGAGGACCAAGGGGGAGAAGAAGGGGGGAAATAGTGCGGGAGAGGAAGAGAGGCAAACCATGAAAGACTGTTGAATACTGAGAACAAACTGAGGACTGATGGGTGTGGGAGGGGAGGGGAGGGGGGAGATGTGCAAGGAGGAGGGCACTTGTAGGGATGAGCACTGGGTGTTATATGGAAACCAACGTGACAATAAACTATTTGTTTAAAAAAAAAAAAAAAAGAAGCAGCACGCTCCAGGCTCAGAGACAGGTGTCAGCACAGAGCCCGAAGCGGGGCTCAAACCCACGAACCGTGAGATCATGACCTGAGCCGAAGTCAGACACTTAACCAACTGAGCCACTCAGGTGCCCCTCTTTTGCTCATTTTCTTAAATTTTGCCTTATGGTGTTGAATTCTTTCCTAAAGTGGGGATAATTAGTCTTGAGGTCACAAGGGATTATTGTGAGATTTGACTTATATTAACATTTAATAAACATTCTAAACATTCTTGGTAAGTGCTTATTGATAGATGGTAGTTTTGCTTTGGTTTCTAGCTGTTTTGCCTTAGACTGGCAGGAAGTTGCTTAGGAACTGAGTGAGCTCCACATTATTTCCTAATTGTAGTATTCTGACCTGTTTTGCTGTTTGTGGTCTAACTGAAGTTGGCTGGGCCCCTATGCAGCCCCTCATCTGCTCAAGGGATCCTCCCCCTTTCTTCGGACTGCAGGCTCAGTCAGGCCTCTTCTTGTCCTTTGTACTCACAAGCGCTCTTACCCACTGTCCCTACTGCAGGAGAAGACTCTTTCTCATAATCCTAACTAAGCTTCACCCTCTTCCCATATTCTGAGGCAGTCTTTTGCAAAATAGGGACCTTCTGGCATCAACTG